TTATATTTTGTGAGAGATTTATATAACAAAAGTTTTTTTTCGACAATGATATTGCATTCATCAGCAGGTTATTCAAGGCTTTCATGGAAGAATGGGGCATCCAGCTGCATTTTCAGTGGGCACATATGCCATATGGAAACATGATAATAGAAAGGTGTCATAGTAGCATAAAATGCATTTCTCCTTTTATTGTTACACACCAAGTAGGAGTTTTTTCTTTATTTGTCCACGCCTAAAAGAGAGAGTTTGTCCGCTCTAATCTTCCTGTTTTTATTTGCATTTTGTCAATAAGCATTTTTTTTTAATGGACATAATTTATCTTTGATTCTGGGAAGATCTGCTTCAAAAAATTTTGCCCAGCTCAATATCCTGTTGTGAAAGCTTTCTGATTGTTTGATAAAATTATCTATTTTTAGAGATGGTAAAGTTTTGGTGTATTTGTTATTATTTGTTTATTTCTTTTCTTATATCCTGGTATTGAAAGCTTTCTGATTGGTTGGGCAAAATATGGTATTGTGGCCTGGCATTTTTTATTATCCATCTATTTTTAGAGATGGTGAAATTTTGATTTTTCTTGTTATTTATTTCTCTATCACCACAATGTCACATTACCCACAGATGCAAGTGAACATATCATCAATTTTATCTCAAGAAGAACATTTAGTAATATAGAAGATTAACAGAGAAAATAAATTTCTCAAATATAGAAAAAAAAAAAGGCTTTAGGGCTTTGGTGATCATATGACTCATTTGGAGAGCTTGCCAATTCTTATTGGCTAGAAAAATTTTTGCAGAAATCAGATGACAGGCATTTATAATTTATTTTTAACCAAATGCTTCACTGGACACCCCTTTTCCCATTTTTGACATTGATGTAGGTAAAAATTTCCATCATCATCTGGATTATCTCATTGTCCATTGTTCCAGAAAAAACATGGCCCCAGCAAAACATTTCTCCAACTTTTAATAGGAATTACCTTATGGCTTATTAACATAGTATTAAGAATTTGTTTCTCTTGGATCAGATTTCAGTTTGATAAGCTAAGCAAATATTTATCCTTATTAGATCACCTTTGAGAAATTCCAAAGTTAGTTATTTTTCACTAAGTTTGTTCAGGTAAACCCTGAACAAATTTGGTGATTGGATTCCCTCATCAATTTCATTTTATATATCTGATGAAATTTTAATTCTTTGTTTCTTTTTTGTTTCTTTCTTCCTAATTATTTAATATAACCTTTGGGGAGATTTTTTGATTTATTTTTCATTTCTAATCACTGCAAATCACCATTTTGCATTTTCATACAGCTAAATGCTGAATCTGGGCTAGCATCATGTTACATTATAGTATCTTGCCTATTGCTTCATAGAAAACACATTGGAAGATAAAATAAAATCATAACATATATATGCAGGAATGAATAAAGTAAGGAACAAGAAGAAGAATATTATAAACAAATTAAAATAATGCTCTTAATATTATAATATCCTGTCTATTGATTCATAGATTAGACTTTGGGAAATACAATAAAAGTCTCATGGGTATATAGACAGACACATTTATGAATAAAGTAAGGAAGAAAAAAGTGAGGAATATTATAGAGAAATGTAAAATAATTTTTGCTCTGAATATTATAGTATTGTTGTTTTATACCACAGTTTTTCATTGGTAGATATGGACATTCCTCATTGGTAATGGCTGTGCCACCCATGAGCAGATGGGCTTATAGTTTTTCAGCATGTGGTATGGTCCTATGGGTCACCTCAATCTCCCTGTAAAAGAGGTTTTAGCCCCTTTCATTTTCCCTATAACTTGTTTTTTGAGTTTTTGTCATCCTTTCTCTTAATCCTTTTGAGATTGTCTAGATATGGGGTTTTAGATCTTGTTTACATTTCTTTTTGTTTTCCTCCAATAATTGTTCTTGTTCATCTTCAGATTGTTATATTGCATTTTCAATTTTACTTTTTAAAATTGATCCTTGCATTGATTTTGGGAGACTTTATTAGTTCTGACCATTGAATTTGAGGCTCATATTATATAATCCAACTTCATTAACATGGATATGAATCATGTGTCCTTTGTTCCATGGTTGGGACTCTTTAAGCCATGTATCTGTTTTTGTCTGTTTAAATTTTCTTCTGTCATTGAACATTTTACACCTTTTTATGTATTCTTCTACATCTGTAGAATAGCCTGGCCACCCTGTCTCTAGCCTTAATTTCACGTGTTTAGACATTATTCCATAATAAACATCATCATGTATATTTCTTATAATTTTGATCCTTTGTATTGCTCATGTAACATCTATGTCTCCATTAAAAATGACACCCTTTTCTACAGTTAGCTTGTATTTAATCTCTTTAAAACACCTTTCTTCCCATGTGCAATTTCTCCACTTATTATTTTTTTATCCTGACCAATATACTGTTCAATATGGGATCTTGCTTCATATCCTCAGCTAATTTGTCTCTTGACAAAATATCAGTTTTAACCCAGTGTAAGAAAGTATCTTCAAATTTTTCCTACTCTTTCTCACTTTCAGAAGTAATAAACCTCAATCTCGACAAAGCATCTACATGTGGAATGGTATTGCTTTTACATACTCAATATCAAGGTGAAACACCATTAACATCAAGACCCATCTTAAATTTCTAGAAGACATTATCTTAGAAAGTTCCTTTCTAGGATTAAATATGAACTCTAAAAGTCTATGGTTGGAACTTAGTAGGAATTTCTTTCCAATCAGAAACTGACAAACTCTATTTGTCATCCATGTTATGGCCAACACTTTTTTCTCAATATTTGAATAGTTCAATTCAATTTTTTGCAATTTTCTCAAAAGATAGATAATAGGATGATTATCCGGAGCTAATATCCCTAAGATTGAGTGTTCACTCGTGTCAGTAGTTACTTTCTTGGGTTGAATATTTTTATTACTGCCTTCTTTGTCAGAACAGCTTTTAAATTTTCAAATACTACTTGTTTTTTTTGTCCAAAAAATTTCAATTTTTTTCTTGAAGCAGTAAAAGTTTTGTCAAATCTAGAATGGTTTATATTGAATGAGGAAATAAAGTTCTAAAAAAGAGGTTGGAAATTCTTCTGGTTCTTAATCTTTATTTTAACATTTTGTCAAAATACAATACTTACCAGTGGTAGATGAAGTAGGTAAAAATGAATTTTAGTGTTGAACTACTTTTCCTTAATTGTTAATCCAGCATTTTTAACTTATTCAAAACCATAGTGTCCAATTTTTTTATTCAGAATAATGGACATATACATTAGTGTTCATCCTGGATGGCATATAATAAAATATTGTTCTTAATTTGCTCAGAGTAAATCACACTACATATTTTAATTCCAAAATTTTTTCCACCTTAATAAGTCTATTGACATGTTTAATTGTTGTGACTTTTTAAAGTCTTCAGCAATAGGTATTTGATGGTATGTCAACTTTATATCAATTTTAAAAAACGTTTTCATAATCCCAAGGGATTTCAAAACCCATTCTACATTGGGGATAGGATATGAGTCTACACATATTTTGTGGTTTACACTTATTTTGTAATCACCACATATGTACAGATCCTCATCCTTCTTTCTTAAAATTACTAACAGGGAGACACATTTGCTCCCCCCTGGTGGAATTTGTTCCAGTAGATCTTGTTCTAGTAATTTTTTTAGTTTTTCCACAACTATTGGTAGTAAATGGACTGGCACTGTTCGTGCTTCAAAATATAAGGCGGAGATATTTTCCTTTAGTCTTAACTTCACTTCATAGTTTTTAAACATCTTAGTTTCTTCTGTCTTGTTTATGCTCAAATTTTGTTCATTTTATATTAGACTGTCATTTCTTTTCATGATTTACCACAATAATTGGTAACATATAAAACTTATTTTTAGTTCAAAATAGGTTTCAAAATAGCCTAATGTTTTTTATCATGGATCTGTCAAACTGATTCAGTTTGACATGACATTTATCTTTAATGTCCAATTTTTTGAGTAATTTCCTTTTTTCCATGAAAAGACATCCATACTTTATTTTGTATTTTGTTGTATGTCTTTCTTTTTTCTTTCTGGATTTACATGTCTAAAATGATAAAACATTATTTAATCACATTTTTTTTTTTTCTATTTTTAATATACACAATAAGTACATATTAAGGTGACTATTTATCGATCCATGGGTTCTAGTTATATCTACAAAGTTCTAGTGACAACTTTCCCGAGGGTGGCAATGTATTAGTCATTTGCCGATACCTTATTTTGAAGCCAACAATCGGCCTAAATCCTGGAATACTGTCTTTTCCTATCCCAATTTCTTATATAGGGAGATGAAGAACATTTTGTTCTAGATTTTTTTCTGAAGTATTATTTAGCTAAGCTGCATTCATTAGTTTTATCTTGGGTGTTATGTTTTTCACTATTATAATTTATATCTTCAAATGATAATTGTTTGGATGTGCAATTGTTAGATATTTTATAATGCCATTTGTTAACAAGAGTCCATTATTTGACCTGATTGATTTTGAATCTTTTAGCTTTTTTTTTCACTTTACTGCCTCATCTATCCTAAGTCACATTTGTGCATATTCATAATACCAAGTACAATTGTTTGTTTGAGTTGATGGTCCTTTGGAAGACTTCATCCACTGCCTCAAATAAGTCACCTTCAAGTTTGAATTACCTCAATCGTTTTATAGAAATTAGACATTAGGAGATACAATGAAAGCATAACATATATAATGAATAAATAAAGTAAGAAACAGGAAGAAGAATAAAAAAAATAAAATATTTTTGAAAATTATTGTATCCTTTCTGTTGCTTCATAGATTAGACATTTGAAGATACAATGAATAAAAACAGTCTATATGCTATGCTTTCATATTATAGTATCTGAAAGATACAATAATAGTATATCTTATATATGCAGAAATGAAGCAAAAAAAAAAAAAGAAAATGGAAATTAAACTAATTTATTCAATTTCTTTTATCCTGTTTTAGGAAATACGAGAAGTTGTTAATGAATGTCTTCAGACAGCAGTGAAAACATGCAACAATGCAACAATTGCATTCCCATGCATTGGAACTGGTGCTATGAACTTTCCTCCAAGAATTCTCAGAACAATTTACCGCGTTATCTTAGAATTCATGCAAGGAAACAATTCTTTGAATCAGGCATATATCCTTATTCATCCTTCAAAAACAGATCTGAGAGAATATGCAAAAAAGATTGATCATGAAGAAGAAAGAAAAAGATTGACATTTGAAGGTAAATATTGTTTATTTCCCTTTTTTTTCAAGAAATATATTTTTTATGCAATCAGAAATTTGTGAAATTTTCCAGATGATAAAAATTCAAAAATAATCAGAATGGTATACTTGTTATTTATTTCTATTTTGACAAATCTCATATCGCTTCTGGCTATAGAAATATATTTTTAAATCAAGAACAAATGTATTGTCAGTGGTCAAGAATTAATTCAATAATCATTGGGAGAATGAAATTATTATAGGCATAATGCACTATTAACAATTTTACCATGAAAATGCACTGAAAATGAGGAAGAAAGGTATTGCCATTGGTTAGTAATGAATGTAAACATTATGGCTTTAAATAACCTGCAAAAGTCATTTAGCCATAAAAAACAAATCAATTACTCAATACAGAAATCTAGATTGCATTTATAAACACAGACAAGCTTTCCATCAGGATAACCCATTAAATTCTTTAATTAAATATAGAAATAAAATAGACCATATCTGATTTCAATAATGCCGCCTTAATAAAAATGAATGCAACTTGTTATGAAGAAAATATCTAGAAGGAATATTAATAAGTAACATACATATGATAAACACATGACAGATGCACTGTACATAATGAATGTAAGACCCAAACATTTGCATATGACATAACTTGGTATCACACATTTGCTTCTAATATTAATCATATTCATCATACATTACATTAATAAATCCAATTTTTGATACACACTTCAATTATATCACTCAAATTAGCCACACACACACACAGATGCCATGTAATTGACACATGACAGTGAACATTTGAGGTTGACACAACAAATGTAAACAAAACATAGAATTTGAAATTCAAAACGAATCTGCATTATTACAATTTATCAATTACAAAACCTATGATGAAACTACATATAAAATAGAAAATATTAAATTTATAAATGCTTTCCTATATATTCTTTACACACACACACACACACACACACATGCATACATACATACATATATATATATATATATATATATATATATATATATATATATATATATATAAAAATTGACAGGAGGGAAAAGGATTCACTAAAGAATGTACAATTGCATTAAAAATTTTCAGAATACCTACATTTATGTGTAACTGAACATGCTCTATTCAAATCTGGTTTGATAAATTTGATAAAATCTACTGTTTTGAAGTTATTGACAGTGAAAGTTTGGATTCATTCGTGTCGCGGGCAGCCATTACTGGCATTGTTTGTGTACATTTGCTGCAGATTAGCTATCAGTGTACGTATCATTACACAAACAGAGTGTGTCTACATAAATAGTTCTCATGCGCAGTAATTGAGGCAAATTTAGACAAGAAAGATCAGTTCTGAACTTAGCTTTTTGTAGTCTTCCATGTTTAGCATTCTGCAGCAAATGTATACAAACAATGTGATTAATGGGTGCCACCAATGATGTGATTGAATCGCAGATTTCACTGTCAATAACTCCAAAATAGTAGATTTTATCAAATTTATCAAGCCAGATTCGAATGGAGCATATACAATTACACATAAATGTAAGTATTTTGGAAATTTTTAATGCAGACTGAGTGCAGGTATTTCAATGCAAATTATCCAGATTATACATAACGTTAGATCATTGCAAAAGGAATAATAACACCATGCAATACAGTGATCCCTTGTTTATCGTGGTAGATTGGTTCCAAGACCAGCTGTGATAACTGAATTTCTGCAAAGTAGGGACGTCATATTCACAGTATTTATTTAACATGAATTTGGACTTTAAAAACCATCCCTGTTCTGTTAACAACCCAACCATTACAGTACTCTATTAATAACAAGGACAACTGTTAAGCAATAACATTTTAGATTAAAAAAAAAAGATTGTTACTGTATTCAACATGAAAGAAGTTGAAGTAGAATTTGAATGATGATGGTGATGAATTTGCTGTGCAGTAGAAATGATGACGAAGCTGATGATGACTTCTACTGTGTAGCTGATCAGATAATTGTATTTTATGTCTCTTCGGATGGCTGTGCCCTTTCTGTTGCTATTTTATGCTTGTTTTATTGTTCCTAGACTAGGAAATAATATTTCTTACTAATATTTTAATGTGTTTAATGAAAAATTTAGGTGTTCATATATCACAAATTTTCTAGAATTTTCCAGAAACACTGCAATATATTTTCCACATATATATTTTAAAAATCCGCGCAGTTGTGAATCCGCAATAGTAGAACCGCGAATTAGCGAGGTGTCACTGTATACTAGAAAAAAAAGCAGAGATCTACACAGTGTGGAGTGATTTAAAATCCAACAAAACCAATGGCTCTAATATATATATATATATATATATATATATATATATATATATATATATAGAAGCATGGTATATTGCCGTGCTGATTCAAAAATCGTGTTTATGCTACAGTAATCGCTATCACTTGACAAAATATTTTTGCCCTTCCTTGCCTTTTTAAAGGAGTGGCCTTTGCCGTGCTGATGTTGCTACATTTATTACTTCTTGCCTATCCCACACTGAGAATTTTTTTTAAGCTCTATACTAAACATTAAATTTGTTACGAAAAAAAGAACTAGACAAAATGAACACAAAACGATCAGCTTTAAAAAAGAACTCAAAACTGGAAAAACTGAATGAAAAAAGAATGTTAACAACAAATACTTTTTCACACCCAACCCAGTTTCCTGAAATATTGAGAATGGTCAACATTGAAATTAAAAAATGAGCCAATTGTTTTGTTAACCCAAAGTAAATTTGGAAACCATACATTGATCCGATTTAAGTTCAAATAAAAGAGCTCAAAAGTGTTTAACATTCGAAAAGTCAACTGCACAGAGTCCAAAAATGAGATGAAAAAATAACTTAGATGTACTTTGACGATTGCAGGCGAGACATTCAACTTAAAAACCCCAATATCCATACCACTACTGTAAGTTAATTTCGGTTTTTACAAAGTTTGATTCCTAAATAAAAATTGGGCTCCTGCATTTACAGTGACCTAAATTGAAAAATCGGATCTGGGATGCAGCCTGGGAGAAAGGACAAAGTTTAAAGAAGTGGGAAATGGACTGTTGAGGGCATGGTCAACACGGAGGTTTGTAATAAATTTAAATCCTATTTGATTTTTGAGTCACGACGGGGTCACACTTAATTCTATGCAAGGCACCTCTAACTGGGTTTGCGAGGTATATTTTGGTTGAATTGTGAAAAACGCCCGAAATTTTAGAATGTAATCCAATATAAAATACTGGAGTACCAATGATTTACCAATTTTTTGAAAGGTTGAGTCAGTTGAAAATCTGTCTCCGTTAAAATTGACGCCAAAAATGTCGGAAGTTGAATCGACATTTGACATTAATTGCAGCCTGGGCGTGAAAAGAAGTCAAAAACTGACAGCTGATGGCAGGGTTGAACCGAGCTTTTTATCAATTTTTTGCTGCATTCTTTAAGGGTCTCAGACATTTTTTTGAAAGGACCCGTAATCTGGTTGGGGTCATTCATTTTTTTTATATATATATATGGTGATGTGAGGAGAGACAATTGAGGCTTGTAACTATACATTAGTTGGCAATGAGTTCAATGCTTCACAGTAATGTGGTAAAGGGGAGAAAGTGACTTATCCCAAGGATGCATTTGTATCCATCATATGCCGATGTACCCTTCAAAATTCAGAAGATCCCCATTCCATAAATCACCTGTTTTGCTATGACAATTAATAAAAAAACAAAAACAAACGCTGTCTGTCACATGTATACTGTGTACACTTTTGTGAGCAGTGCTTCTTGATACAGCCAAACAGCACGTAGCCTGCTCTACATCAGTCAAAATGTATTAAATGTGTTCCTTTATTCACCCTCACGAAAAAGCTTTTCATGTGGTCTACACTGAAGTCCTCAGCAAACTCCATTCCATTTTTTTCTTTCCATGCAAGAAAATTGAGGCCCCTGCCAAATCAAACATATTGAATGCTGGATTTGTGGTTTTGAATAGAGAAAAATATAGCTGAACACAAAAAATCAAATCTTGAGACATCTTTTCGTATGCAACCAATCGTTGAATGCAAAAAAAAAGGATGCATCTTTTTCAAATAAAAGACGGCGCTAAATGCTTTTAAATGTGCATCACAATGCGTGAGCATTTAGATGTTGTTGCAACGTTGGTCGGAAAATAAAATTTTCTCCTCCATTCATTTCTCAGTTTCACCACAAAATCGGCGTTTACTGGGTCGCATTTAGTAAAGGCAAAAGAGAAATTAACTTGTTACAGCAGATAACTGTCTATATAAAAAACTGAACTATGTCAGGTCTGGGATGTGGCCTGGGCTAAGGAAAAGGTTTAAAGAATTGGAAAATGGACTGCTGAGGGCAGAACCATTTTCAATATTTAAAATTTTATTCAAGGTTTTTTTTAGTAGAGACGCCAATAAAGGAAGTGCTTATTTTGGTAAGATGCAAATAGGATTAAAGCAAAATGTTGACAAAGTCCGATATGTCATTTGTGGCTCGGTCAGAACTGGTAGCATGGATAAAAAAGCCAATTTCAATGGCCCTGCACCCATTCCAGAATTTGAGGTCAAATGTTTTCTTTATACTCCACTGCACTGCACACCTGTTTCTTCCAGTCACATAGCATCACCTTAAATTAATGACTGCATTTAGGAAATACCCAACCGAAAAAACATTTTTAAGGGTTGACCGATTGTCAATTTGCACTTTGTTTTGTGGGGGCTCAGAGTTGAAACTTCACATGGTGAACTGGCCTCCTCATTTCGGGTCGGGTTTTACTTTAAACCACATATGGTTCAGGCGCAATCTTAGTGTTTGGGAAATTTATATCGATTTTCAGTGCTGTTTTTAGGGGTCATTGGCATTTTACATCTGGACAAATGGTAGACTCTAAGAGGGTGTCAAATTTGGTTGAAAAAAGATCATTCCTTCTGTTAAATATCATTTTTCAATTGTCAATTTTTTTTACTGATAAATCTTCTGTCATGTCCCATGAAATTTTATTCATTCACCAACATTTGCAAAACTTGTGGTGGAAACCCCATCGAAATCGGGTTAGAAATGCGGCCTGGGTGAGGTAAAAACATCCACAACAGACACACAGACAGACAACATGATAAAATATAGATTATTGATTTTTTTGTAACCGAGTCCTAACTCAAAATCGACAAGAGTCAATGTCCTTATCATAGCCATTTGCAAACTTAGGTGGAAACTAAATCGAAATCGGGGTGAGATATCCTAAAACAAAGAACAATGCCCAATAATAGACACACAGACAGACAACATGAGAAATATAGATAGTAGATTTTATATTTTTATATTTAAATTCAACGGTTTTGGTATTTTAAAAAATATATATAAAATTAAAATAGATGGACGTAAAAATACGAAAAGAAAATTTTTATTTAAATCCAGACAGAAAATATGAACTCTGCATAAAATGGTAGGCTGGAATCTCAAGGAAACTTTTTTGTAATAAATTTCAGATGTAAAGAGATGATAAAGTTTGGAAGTAGTTTAGTTCCCTATTAAAGTTATGTTCATATATCAGAAAATATTTGTATTTAATATTTGATGGCCGTCTTTCTTTGTTGCAGTTAAATTTCCAAAATGGTCTCAAACAGAAAAAATTCAAAGGGTCAAGTTATCAGAAGAAGATGAAGATTATATGATGGTCAAGAAAAGGTTTTGTCAAACTATGAATGAAGCAACCATCATAAAGGTAGTGACTCTTTCTATGCAATAAGATATCTCTTTATTTCTCTTTATATATATTTTATATATATATATATATATATATATATATATATATATATATATATACATATATATACATTGATACATGTTTCATTAAATAATATAGCCAAGTGTTTTTTTTTTTTATGTAAATTCTTTTGCATATTGTCTGATAAGATTAATAACATTATCATTAAACAAAGAAAGAAAATCAAAATATTGATACATATTTTTTAATCCTATCTAAGCTTTCAGCTTACATAATATATTATCAAAGATGACAATTACATTACAATATATTAAGCAATACACAGACAAGACAGCGATGATAGTCTGTTTTTTTTTTTTAAATATGGCAGATTTTCAAAATTTTAAAACCAAAACTTGTGTATAAGATGAACATAAAAAAGTGAATTCAAATATTTAAGTATTAATGTAAAATGATTTTAAATAAAAATGGTAGGAACAGACGAAAATATGTGGTAAAAATAAAAACTAATACGGCAGAAATTTATAGAAACAAGGATCTTTTCATTCATAACGGGTTCGAGGTTTTTGTATATTATTTGAATTGTTTGCGATGATGGATTTCTCGCCAATTAAATCATTAACCTTTTGTATTTGTTTTTTGTGTGAATAATTCATGAATTTGTAAATTGATTGCACGTTTATTGAAATTAAAATAACTGATCCAAGTGCGACTTTTGGATAATAAGTGCGACATTACTGTAATTATTGAACAATATAGTTCATGCCACTTTGACAGAAAATTTACCAGTAAAAAAAATTCGTTCATCACCATATTTGTACATGAACGCACAACTGTTTTAAAAATTTAAAATCAAACTCAGCGTTGCTACTGGGCGCTCCAAAAACAATAACTCATTTCCAATAGCATTTTCGGATACAACAATACATATATTTTCGTTGTCCTCTTATTACTAAGAGAAAAAACAAGAACAACATCTATTCCATACCTGAAGATGTCTGTAGGAACAGACGAAAGCTTGTAGTAAAAATAAGAACTAATACGGCAGAAATTTATAGAAACAAGGATCTTTTCATTCATAACGGATTCGGAGGTTTTTGTATATTATTTGAATTGTTTGCGATGATGGATTTCTCGCCAATTAAATCATTAACCTTTGCATTTGTTTTTTTGTGTGAATAATTCATGAATTTGTAAATTGATTGCATATATCGTATATATATATATATATATATATATATATATATATATATATTAAATAAAATATATATATAAGGTTCCATATATATAAATATATATTTCACCACAGTTCTTTAAAGGACTGGATATCATCAATATATTTATATAAATATAAATGTATTGAAACGAAAATGAAAAGAAATTCAATACATTTTTGACGGTTATTATTATATATATAAATTTTTAAATTGAATTTCTAAAAAATGAGAAACAAAAGACTTAAGTTTATTAAAGTTAGATAAATTTAATATTTCTATTCTTTTTACTTAAAATTAAATAAGGAGATTCAGACATTGACATATTTAAATGGTAAATATAAATTTATTATTCAACATAAGTTATATATTGATATAGAAGGGTAATATAGGATTTTAAGACATAAAAAGAAAAAATATTTTTAATTCAAAAGAATAGGTTAAAAGATTTTTTTATATTGGAAAAAAAACAGGAACATTGAAAAAGATATGTTATTTTGTTTTTATATTTATATATTATTTATATATTCATAAATATTATATATGTTTGATATAAATTTGAAAGTAAATAAACTGTCTAAAAAGAATTTAATTTGATGTTTGTTAGTGATTTAAATTCAAGTTTTTTTTTTTGGGCATTTTCTTTGAAATAGATCGATTAAGAAAAAAATAATCATACAAAAACAACTTAAAAGAATAAAATTTTATTTTTTTTGATATAGCTTTTTTCTAGTAATCTTTTTTTTTTTTTTTTATTGATTATTAAGTTGACATCTGTATCCATTTTTTTTTTTATTTATAAATCTTTAATTACAAAAAGTTTAGTTAAGATAATATGGATAATATATAATTTTATTTATAAACCCCCAAAACATATATATATATATTTTCAATACAAAAAAGATAATGATGTGATGGGATTAAAAATTGCCATTTTCTGTTTTTAATTATATATATATATGTATATATATTGTATTTATTTTATTTTGTTATATATATATTATATATATATAATGGAGTAAACAACTTCAGATTTTATTCTTTTTATTGTTTTTAAATTTTTTTACTAAGTCGTTTATTGTTAAAATGGATGAGAGTAACAACTTTTATGTTGAGTTTAGATAGATTCTTTTCAAGAAAATGATGCTTTTAATTTTTAAATCATAGATTGTTATGGATGCATAAAATTGTAACCAATTTTTCGAAAATTGTATAAATCAACAAGTATTTATATTTTATAAAATAATAGTGGAGCTACTTAATAAATTATATGTTATCCTCTT